GCCCCTCAGACCTCTCCACTGGTTCCCTACTCCACGCTGGTATGTTGCATTCACCTCTTGGAGCACCGGGTTAAAGTCTGGTCCCTCTTTCCCTGTGGAGATATGAACAACACCCTCCCCTTGGGTGGGTTAGCGCCCTGTGCCCCTGCTGCCGGGTAGAACTCTTATGTGTTGTTTTTCGTTTTGTTTTTGTTTCTTTCCAGATTGGGACTTCTTTAAAAAAAAAGTCATTTGACAGTCACCAGCCCTTCACCCACAGGGACTTTGTCTGGGAGGGAGGGAGCGGAGTGGTGGCCCCAGACACCCTCGTCATCTGTCAATGCCACCCCTGGCCGGGTCCGAGGGACAGCAGCGGCCATGGCTCCCCCTGTCCCAGCTGCCCCTTCCCCGCGGTGCTAGCCTGCATGGTGTGGGGACCCTGGAGGACTGACGGACCTTGCTTCACGTCCCTGAGAACGCCGCCCCCAAGATGTCGCTGGACTGGCTAGCAGCCTGGAGCTGGTCGCTGGACGGCCTGAGGGACTGCATTGCCACGGGCATCCAGTCCGTGCGGGACTGCGACGCCAGCGCCCTGGGCACCGTGGCCTGCTTGCTGGTCCTGTTTGTGTGGTACTGTTACCATGTGGGCCGCGAGCAGCCCCGGCCCTACATCTCCGTCAATGCTCTGATGCAGGGCAGCTCCGATGCCAGCGGGCTGCAGAACGGCTTCGTGTACTGCCAGTCGCCCGCGTGCGTGCGCTGCACCCACCATGAGGGCCTCAACCAGAAGCTGTACCACAACCTGCAGGAGTATGCCAAGCGCTACTCCTGGTCCGGCATGGGCCGAATCCACAAGGGCATCCGCGAGCAGGGCCGCTACCTCAACACCCGGCCGTCCATCCAGAAGCCTGAGGTCTTCTTCCTGCCCGACCTGCCCACCACGCCCTACTTCTCCCGGGACGCCCAGAGGCACGACGTGGAGCTGCTGGAGCGGAGCTTCCAGACGATTCTGTGCGAGTTTGAGCGCCTTTACAAGGCCTTCTCCAACTGCAGCCTGCCGCAGGGCTGGAAAGTCAACAGCAGCCCCAGCGGCGGGTGGTTCACCTTTTACCTGATCAACCAGGGGGTCTGTGTCCCCAGGAACTGCAGGAAGTGCCCACGGACGTACCGCTTGCTGGGGAGCCTCCGGACCTGTATCGGGAACAATGTTTTTGGGAACGCTTGCATCTCTGTGCTGAGCCCTGGGACTGTGATCACGGAGCACTACGGGCCCACCAACATCCGCATACGATGCCACCTAGGTAGGTCTTGGGGGTGGGCGGGGCTCCAGGTGGACACCGTGATAAGCACCGCCGGTCTGGATGGATGAGGACCCCCCCACCCACCCCCACCCCCGTCACAAACAGTTTCTCACGGTCACACCTTCCGCAGTTGTTTTTTATCAAAACTTATGAACTTGCGTGTAAGTTATTTGGGGAAGCAGA